GATAACTGAATTTCGCTATCGCATCATCGGTGTACGCGCGGGTTCATCACTATTTCCAAGTAGTAAATTTGCCTTCACAAAAGTAACGTTGCACTCTCAGCGTGAGTACTGATCGGGCATTGTGGACAACGGGATTTACTCTCATACAGCTGTGTTCAATTGAGTTTTCAATGATACTACAAGATTGTGAATGAGTTGCAATTGATTATCCATTCTTCCTTTCAGAGACCCCGTCGAATGAGGGCAGCTTCCCGAAAACGAGAACTGGTGTGGCTGCAAATCACATTTGTACCAATGCAACCAATAAGCAGAGACGTAATTTCTTAAAGGCGGCATGGTATTTTTCAGCAGTGCGCCTGTTAGACGGACGTTATGAATCTAACGGGCTATCGTCGGCCATTGGGTCGTGCGTGGCTGGGGCCTTATAATAAGTCGTGCGCAAAGGTGCGGACCTTGCAGTTACGACGGATAGCCGAGGTGAGCGATGACGTGAACATATATGGGTATTGGGTATCGTTTTTGGTCACTGAATTAGATCATCATGCATATTTGAAGCCTCATAACCGGCAGCGTGCATAGGTGCGGCAGCAGCAGTTACTATAAGCAGCCAAGGCACACGACAACGAATGTAGCCGTGAGTATGAAGGACTGTTCATAGGCATCAGATTCGACTATCGTGTATAAATGTTGCGTGAATTAGCGCCGCACATAGACAAGGGTCTCACAGTCACGGTGAATAGGCGAGATAGGCGAAAGGCCCGCGGTTAAATGTAAAGGTTGGCTTTACTTTCTGACAGTGTCATTCTGCTCTACATATCCTCAGAGAATCACACATATGCTATATATATGGGAGAATATATCATATCAGAGAATGAGGAATATTTACAAGGATGCATGCCCTCATCATCAATGAACGTTAACTTCAACCGCCAAGCTGATATAATGGGTTGGCCCATCAACTTTTCTCCAGTGACCACAAGCAAACCGTGCGCCCACTCATGAACTCATATGCAACCTGAATCGACTTTATGTAACAATACTCCTGGACTTCTCGTACGGGGGTGGTTATTGCACTGACATCGGGGCGACCTCGGATCAGTGAACCGTTTAATACCGAAACATATCCAGTTGGATGACTAAAGGAATAGAACATCTGTGGCCCGCGCTACTTCTATTCTCTCTCAATCTCCCCTGTCTTCCTTCTGCTTGACTGCAGAAATCTACTCCACTGAATGTCCTCTATTCTGCGCGAGTCATGTGGCTAAATCTGCTCCCCCGTATTGACGTGGGTTTCAACGACTTCATTCAACTTGGGACTTGCGAGCAGTCTTTTCACCACCAGCGATGCCAACTTCTGAGGAAACTGTCCCAAAATCTGCGGGCAGCTAAACCTATTGACAGAAAATTTTGCCCTCTAAAATTGTATCCTGTGAAATAAACTGTCATATTGTGTGACTGACGTTTCCTGCCTCATTACCTTAAGTGTGGCATCGACCATCTTCTACTCACAATTATTTCTTAACCGCATACTCAAGAGTCACCTTTAATCCGTTTTTATAGATTGCCCTGAACTTTAATGGACACCGCAAATCTAGTTAATACCGTACCCCTTACGAACTATCACCAAAACTGGTAACGCCTCTTCCCGCATCCTCCCATTTTCCAGTACGCACTTCAAATATTTGACCAGTGTAAATGACCTACTGAACCGATCCTATGGGCCTTTGGGTATTCATAAGCGGAGCTAATGAACCTACTGAACCTAATATTTATGGACCTAAATTTTCAGTCACCCACTGTAACAGCGGATGCTCTCTTGTAATGTGACTTGCCTCAGGAACACTGAGATTTCTAGTTCCATATCCTTCGTGATCGGTGTATTACCATCTTAAAAATGCAAGTTGTGAACATCACATAGCTGGAAAAACTACCTGACATAAACGTATCGTTTATTCATGTAGACGTAGGGAAGAAGTGATAAGGGGACGAGAAGCGGATCCCGGATTGAAAAACCAGGTTCATGTATGCTGTCTCCCGAGCTGTATCCTCATGCCAATGGAGTAACAAGCTACGAACGGCGACTGAATAATAACCTAGAGGATCCTCAACCTCGCACCTTGTTTACTGTTACCACTATGTCACGTAAAGTTGTCTGTTGCCTTTGCCACGTGATAATTTCTGAAACAGTCAGATTCTTGGGATTGAATTGCTAGTTAACCAACCCCTCGTAAACAGAGGTGCCTGGCCATAAGCAGGTTTATTAGGTGTAGGAAGCCAAAAGCTACTTTCCCATTCCAGATCGTGGTTGAGGTAGGACAAACAGCTGTCATCAGTTTCTTGGGATTGAATTGCTAGTTAACCAACCCCTCGTAAACAGAGGTGCCTGGCCATAAGCAGGTTTATTAAGTGTAGGAAGCCAAAAGCTACTTTCCCATTCCAGATCGTGGTTGAGGTAGGACAAACAGCTGTCATCAGTTTTGTTTATGGCAGGGTTAGTAGTATCTAATAAGCCATGATGTAGGAGCAACAACCCTAAATGCCAAGTAGCGACTTGAGATCGCGAAGTTTGAAACTTTTCAGGAAGAGGGTGTCCAGCCAAACACAAAAACGAGTAAACCATCATTCTCATGAGACCGGTTGCAGGTGTGCGCGGCGGAAATTTGCATCCTAGTGTTTCGTTAACGAAATCTTAGGCAATTTCATAATGATTGCACTGCAATGGAGCCGTTAACCGGGGTGCAGTCTTCCGCGTCATTTCCCAGGCATTCAACTGCAGCTATTTTGTGGTCCCCGAGTAAACTGGAATTTTCAGCTTGTAGCAGCTGGTCACATTACACCTGGAGCACCGACTGCCTGGATCATGCAGTGTTTGGCTGAACATTGTTCCTGCGAGACGCTCAGTGCTGAAAACTTAAGCGGTAACTGCCACCCACGGTAGGCAGGAATGAACCATTACAAAGAACTACAAGTCGGTAACTAAAAAACGCTGACCCATCTCTTGTCCAAACCCAATGGCAACCCGACATCCATATCCTTTTGAGAATATACATTATTGTAGTAGCCACCTCAAGGATTCTAAACATCCAAGGATTGGAACCGGCGCAATTCCTCCATCAGACCACCTCTACTGCAGGGAAGCATCAAATTCGAAAGCTGACTTTGTGCTGCCGATAATGCGCCGCAAGCTGTTGACACACCCAAATTGAGTTCGTCGAAGCTATAGGGTTTACGTAGTTGCTATTTTAATGGGGAATTAGTCTAGTCAATTTGCACCTTCCCGTGACATGTTGCACGTAGCATTTTGTTTAAGTGAGCGAAATGTCAAGGTCATTGACCATCGCCGATTTGGATTTTATGCCGGTTTAAGCGCCGTAAAACACGAAATCGCACTTTAGCATATTTTGGCGTTCTTCGGTGTTCCTGAAGAATAAAAATAACATCTTAAGAGTATTTACTGCAAATGCCACCCTATAGGATCAGCCACAGGCCTTTGTTTGCTCTAGACACCTCAGATTTAACAAATGGGATATTGTTGGATGGTGAACCTGCTCACAACACATTTTCCCCATGGGTCTCATGTTCCATTATTTGCAATAAAGTTAGATTACAGCACAAACTTGCAGTGCCAGTGCGAGGGACATCTGTGGACGATCCCATTTCCCAGATATGCATAACTAGCTTATAGATAATACAGTGTTACCAGAATGCTGTGGGCGTCTTTCCTATTATAACTATGACGTTCTATAGGTGGTGATCACCAACCACGAAGCGGTCACCACGATGACGGTAGTCGCTGTCACTCACCTCGACCACCTACTTTAGCTCCTGGATCCGTGTCTATGTGCGACTCTAATTAAGGTTCTCCACATATGCGCGGCAGCCCAATCCAATGAGCAACGACGGCCCCTATTCGCGACGCAGATTATGAGGCCTCACCTATGCACGGCAACGTAATACAATGGCCGACGACGGCGCTCCATACTCAAAACTCCAAGCGTTGATAATGCGCCCGCCATGAATTTACGAAATCACCATTGCCAAATTGCATTTTATTCACTGGCATCACTGAAACAAGTTTAATTGGTAGTCGCTCCATTTTTCATTTTCTTAAGATCCACTTCACGCGACAAGGATTTTGAAACGAAAAATGGGCAAGCAATTAATCTCCGGGAACAGCATTTAACCTTCTGGA